CATAGTGGGTGTCGATCTTTTCTTTGTTCCCTTCCAGGAGAGGACCCTGGCGTTTTTGAACGTTGTGGACCACGGATCCAACCTGCAGGTCTGTGTGCGGGTGGAGGAGCCCACAGCGGCTCAGGTTTGGGGGGCTTTCGTGAGAGCGTGGATCCGTCCTTTCGGAGCTCCTCATTTTGTTTTGTCGGACGGGGGCTCCGAGTTCGAGGGTCGGTTTGCCCGAGGACTCGAGCAGTGGGGGGTTCTCCACCACGTGTGCGACGCGAACTCCCCGTGGCAGAACGGACGCGTCGAGAGACACGGAGGCTGGATCAAAGACAGGATCAAGGGAGAGGTGGAGGCCGGTTCTGCCATTCCCGGGGACGTAGGGGAGCTCGAGGAGCTTGTCTACGAGCTGTGTGCTCATAAAAACCGTTTCTGGCACCGGGGCGGGTTTTCTCCGGTCCAGCTCGTTTTTGGCGAGAACCCGCGGATGCCACACGAAATACTGTCGGATGATCACATGGGCCTTCCAGGCTGGCAGGACTCCATACGACCGGCCTCGGAGCTCGACTCCGCGGGCGCGGAGTTTGCCCGGTCGCAGCGCGTTAGGGAGTTAGCGCGTCGCCTGGCTCTAGAGATTACCGCCCGGGACAAGGTTGCCAAAGCCACCAAGGCGAGGGGACCCAGCCAGGACCAGGCGATGTTCCGTCCAGGCCAGTGGGTTTTCGTCTGGCGACGCCTGACCAAAGCGGGTCCTAGGGCCGACACCCTGGGTCGCAGGCGGGACGCGTGGACGGGCCCCGGGGTCGTGGTCCTGTGCGAGCGTGGCACCGTCTGGGTCGCGGTGCGGGCGCGTCTCTGGAAATGCTCTCCAGAGCAGGTTCGTCTGGCCAGTGCCGAGGAGGAATGCGGCATCCAGGTTGCCCAGGATCCCCGGTGGTCCGAGCTTCTCTCCCAGGCCCAGGCCAGGAGAGCGACGGCAGTGGACGTCCAGCGAGAAGGTCCCCCCCCCGACGAAGCGTGGGACCAGCCGCTGTCTCCAGAGGTGGACTCGGCGCCTCAGGTGCCCCCGGGGCCTGAGCCAGAACCACGGCCGGATGCGCCTCGAGAAGTTCCGAGTGCGAGACCTCCAGGGCCTGCTCTGGTTCACCGTGCGTTCGATCCGATCGGGCCCAGGCCTCCAAGGGGGGTCGGGTCCCGGCCGTCATCGGCCGGGGGTTCTGCGGTCGCCCGGGCCGGATCCGAGCGAACTCGACTCCCGTGCATCTCCGAGGGAGACGGCCAGGGAGAGGGCGGGCCACCCACGAGGCAAGACACTCCAGAGGACGAGGACACCCTCGACACGGCTCCCCCTATCTCTTCCTCTCCTCCTCCTCCTCCTCTCCTTCCTTCTAACCCTGTGCCCGCTCCCACCGTCAACGAGGATGCCTCTGGTGGAGCCAGCAGGCCAGGGAGATCTAGACTGCCTCAGCCCAGCGACGTGCCAGCTTGTATTCGCCAGCGTCAGGCTGAGACTCGAGCGGCGAGCTGTCCTCCCGAGGTCGTCGAAGTCAAGCGTGCCAGGATAGAGCCACCTCCAGGACTGGGTCTTTCCAGCAGCTCTCCCCAAGTGAGCGAAGGGCCGAGTGCCAGTGCTGCCGCTGCCGACGCCGAGGAAAGAGGCGAGGACGGGGGGCCAGGCTTTGTGGGGCGTAGAGTTCAGGAAATCGAGTCGAGGGTCCGACTGGAAGGCTGGGTGTCGTTCGCGGTCGAAACCATGGAGGCGGGCGTACTCTTGGTTGAGGAGAAGCGCGGAGCCGATCTCGAGGTCCTGGCGGCCAGCCGCGGAGGAGAGGTTAGTCTCAACCGACTGACGCCTGCCGAGCGCAGCAAGTTTGAAGTGTCAGACGACACCGAGTGGCAAAATATGGCCAACTCGGGTGCTGTGGAGATCATAGCGCCTAGGGAGGCGGGGGTGATTAGGCGAGAGCGACCGGACCGCATCATCACGAGTCGGATGGTTCGACGGTGGAAACCCGTGGAGGGCACGTTTTCTGAACCAACCGCCAAGTCTCGGTGGTGCGTCCACGGACACAAGGATCCGGATACCGGGTCGCTATTCGTCTACTCTCCCACCCCCCAGACTTCTTCCATACTTATGTTCATCCAGGTGATGATGAATCTAGGCCACCTAGGGGATATTGCGGACGTGAAGAATGCCTTCTGCCAATCGGATCCTATGAGCCGTGCTCAGGGAGAGATCTACGTGGAACCATGCGAGGGCATCAAGGTTGAAAAGGGGTCTCTCATCAGATTGTTGGTGAACGTCTACGGGTTGGACGATGCCCCTCTGGCCTGGCGCAAAACGATAGTAGGATATCTTAGGACAAAGGGATTCACGCGCAGTCTCCTAGAGCCCTGCTGGTGGATCAGGTACGCCTCAGACGGGACCATTCTCAACATGGCCCTACTTGAAGTCGACGACTTCTTTATCGCCAGCAATTCAGAGGCGTCCCGAGCCTGGATCCGGGAGACCTTGGTCTCTAGGTTCAAGTTTGGGAAGTACAGGGACTGTCACCGCGGCCCTGTCGAGTACGCTGGCCGCAGCGTGAGTTTCGGGCCCCAGAAGACGACGATCGACCAGGAAAAGTATATACTGGAGGAGGTGAGGACGATTAGCCTCGAACGGGGTCGACTGGGTCAAAAGTCCTCTCCCCTTACCCAACCCGAGTTCAAAGCCCTCCGGTCCCTGATTTATAAGTTGAACTGGGTCGGTCGTGAATCTCGTCCCGAGGCTGCCGGCACCGCGAGCATCCTTGCTAGTAGACTGAAGGACGCCACCACGGGGGACGTTGCCATTGCAAACAAGATGGTGAGGCATCTCCGTGCTACGGCCTCGAGAGGCCTCATCATTTGGCGTTTGGACCCGGAACGGATGGCGTTCGTTTCTTTCTCTGATGCGGGGGGTGTAGGAGCCAGCGAAGGACTTCTGGACCACCAGGGGCTCCCCGCCGACCGAACGCAGGGGGCTTGGATGGTCTTAGCGACCGATAAGAGCGTGATAGATAACTGTGCTGTTCGTGCGTCCACCCTGGGATGGCGAAGTTCCAAGCTCAGAAGAAAAGTCACGTCTACTCTGGCCGGCGAGACTCAGGCTCTCTCGGCGGCAGTGGCGGAAGTAGAGTTTCTCCAGGTCTTGTATAGAGACGTGGTTTTCGGAGATGTGGATGTGTCAGACATGTCCCGGTGTTCAGGTCCGTTTACGACGGTACTCCGTAGGGACTGCCGACTAGGCGGGCGGGAAGATCAGGTTCACGTGGTGGATGCGAAGAGTATCTACGATACGATGCTGAAGGAAGGGAATGCTAGTGCCCGCGACCGTCGCACGGCGCTCGACTTAGCCGCCGTGTGCCAGGCCCTGGAGGGGGCTCGAGGTTTTATTCGGTGGATCCCGCACGGCCGTATGCCCGTGGACTGTCTCACGAAGGACGACATCAGCAAGGGCAATGCGGCATTGTCCAATTTACTTGCGACAGGCAAGCTAGTTTTGATAGACGAGGCTGGGGAGATATCCCGCAGGAGGAACCAACCAGGGAGTAAGGACCGATCTCAGGCAGCATCTCGGAGGATGTTGGATCAAGACTCCAGGCTCATATCGTGGGCCGATTTCCAGTCCAGCCCAGCGGTGTCGGAGTCAAGAGACCCGGGCTCTCTCTCTTCTCTCCTCCCTCACTGCTCTCTCCCTGATCACTGACTTGCATGTACAGTTGCTGTATCCTGTTTTGGGGTGCTAAACCTAGGAGAAAGTCTCATCCATGTGGAGACGCTCCTGTTTCATCGATATAGGTTTAGCATAATGTTCTTTCCCGTGAAGCCCAACATTCCAGCTCACGGGAGGCCAGGATTGTTCGTACGTGTTTCAGGGAAGGATGTACTATCGTTGTCACACTATGGCTCAAGGCCAAAATGCATCTGCTCATCCTGCTGCTGCCACACCGCTCTACGACGAATCTTAGGGGATCTTGGGTCCGCCTGCATACGAATTGAGCATGCTCGGGGAGGGTAGCAGGAGGCTTCTTGGGGTCCGTAGGGTGCCTCTCGGGGGCCTCTGGGCGGTATTTTTGGGGACCTCCTGGTGCCTCCCTGGCTGGGACTCCCAGGGGCCTCTGGGAACCTCGCGGGGGCCTCTTGGAGGCCTCTTGGGGCCCCCGGGGGGGAGGGGGGGGGCTGAGGGCTGAAAATATTCGCTCGGGTCCCCTATTTGGGTCTCCTGTTGGAGCCTTTTGGGGGGCCGCTTCGGCCGTCGTCTTGGAGGCCTTTCGGGCCGTTTTGTGGACTCCTTGGGCCGTTTTGGGGCCCTGTTTAAGGCCTCTTGGGGCGATCTTGAGCCGTCTTGGAGCGCCGGGAATCCGAAAAAACGAGAACGCCAAAATCTTTCAAAAACCTACGGGATATGTATAAATGTGTGCCTCTAGGGGCTCTCTTGGGACGCCTCTTGGAGGCCTCTTGGAGCGTCTTGGAGGCGTCTTCGGCCATGTGGAGGCCATCTTGGGCGCCTTAGATGGATCGGTCGGCGACCCAGAGCCCTCTTGGACCGTCTTGGGGGCCTCTTGGGGTCCTCTTGAGGTGCTCTGGGGCGCCTGACATGCCGCGCCCAGGAGGAAAGCCATCTCTGAACCGACTGGGCCAGACTTCTCCCGTGGTATTTTGCGTCCAGGGACTTCCAGGGACCGCTCCGCGCGCGCGAACTAGAAATTATGTTTACCAGTTACCGGAGATCTTAGCACGCCGCCTCTGGCCCGTTGGGCCGGCGAATTTGTGAGGAAAGGGGATGGAACGAGGAGGAGGAGGAGGAGGAGGAGGAGGAGGAGGAGGAGGAGGAGGAGGAGGAGCAGGGAGGAGGAGGAGCGGGGAGGAGGAGGAGCGGGGAGGAGGAGGAGGAGGCGGAGGAGGAGGAGGAGAGAGCTACGTGCGAGGAGGAGGAGGAGGAGGAGGAGGACGAGGACCCCGATTCTGATCCTGTGCAGCCCCCACTGAAGGTGCACGTTCACTCGCTCAGCCGGCACCCGAGCGCGCAGAGGCCGGGCCAGGCGAGGGGGTGCGCCAAGCTGTGCGCCCGCACCGATCCCGAGCAGGCCGATTCCGGGCCCAGGACCGGTGTACCCAGACCCCCATCGGGCCATGAGAAAGTCCTGGCGGAAGGCGTTTCGTTATTTTCGGCCTCTGGGGGCCCTTACCAGCCCCTCGGGGCCGTCGAGAAGCGCTTCAGGAGACGCTGGTCCCAGGGAGTAATCATGGGTCGAGACCTCCGTGGGTTGGAAGGGGTGTTGTGTCTGTTGTTTGGTCAGATTGCTGCAGCCAAAATGGCTTCTTCACTTGACCAGGGTTCGCGCCGGGCGCGCCCGCCACCATTCCCCGCGGTCGCGGGAAAACGCGACAGTAGCATTTGGGATATTCAGCTGCGTGTAATCAGAGGTTCGCTCAAAAATGCGACTGGCCCCTGTCGGACTGCAAGCGAACGGTCGACGAGCAACGGGCTGCTACCATTCCAGCGCGCACCTCCTGGAAAAGGAGCGGCGGGCGCATTCGCCAAGCCCCTTTTCCGTCCACGTCCGTTCGCCGACGGCATATCCGCCGCCAATCCAGCAGGCCCAGACCCCCGTGAGTCACGAATTGTTCATGACGCTCGTTTTGGATGTTCTGCGATGTCTTGAGTGTTGTGCTTCATGGTTCGTTGTCTTGTTTTTTACTGTTTTGATGTTTGTTCGATTGACAGCGCGTAGCAAGCCCTTGACATGCCTTGAATGCTCTTCCCAAGCCGTGATAACTCATGACAGCCCTAGGCACGCCTTAAGCAACGTCAAGGCTTGTCAAGGCTTAGGGCTGGTGTCAACTGTTGAGCGCTGACCGATTGGATCTCCACGTTGACACTGGTTTGGGCGTACGTTTACTATAAGGGGCAGTACAGAGCTCCCCGCGCACGCGGAGTTTCCCAATGTGCACAGTCGAATCGTCGCCATGTTGGTATGGAAACTCGAGTGAATCCCCAGCGGTGGCCGACAGGAGTGCAGGTGACCTGCGCGGTGGGCAGGTCATCCGCCGCGCGTGCGCGAGCCCGTGGCGAGTTCTGTGTCGTCCGCAATAAGAAAGTCGCCATGTTGGTTTGGAGGCCCAAGTGGCCCTTTAGAGGTGGCCGACCAGATCTCGGGTGACCCGCACGGTGGGTGGGTCACCCGCCGCGCGTGCGCGCGCGTAGCGAGCTTTGGATTGTCCACGATCGGATAGTGTCCATGTTGGCCTGGAAACTTAACGTGAACCCTTGGCGGTGACCCGTTGACCGTTGAAGTTAACATGTGTTCTACACGTTCCCGACTATAGAACGGACGTCTTGTTTGCGAAGAACATACAGCGCACCCCTTGCGGTCACCGAGCGCGCGCGGGTGACGCGTGTCATCCGCGCGGCGCGTGGAAATTTTGACCTTGTCCAGGAGCAGTTACTCGCAAGTGGCAGCGCGCGCGATCCAAAAATTGCTCCCTTTTCTTACTCGTCCTCCTCTTCCCCCTCCTCCTCGGCCTCCTCCTCCTCCTCGTCCTCCTCCTCCTCCTCGTCCTCCCGTCTCCTCCTCCTCCTCGTCCTCTTCCTCCTCCTCTTCTTCCTCGTCTTTTTACTCCAGGGCCTTGAAGTGGAAAGCCCTAGGGTTTCGCCCCCTGGGGTCTCCGGGAGGCCCTGGCATCGCATTTCCGTCGCGGAAGTGCAGTAATATTTCCGGCATCCGCCGGGCGAAAACATAATTGTAGCAATCAAAAGCCAGGGCAAGCGTAGAAACCCCAATCGGTGCCAATTGTCAGTAAACTGGTCAAAACCACAACATGAATTTGAACGAAATTGCGAAAAGAGGGCCCGAGTGTAAAATTCAAAAACGAGGTCAACGAACCCATAAACGAGGCCAAGTGTAGTCAATCGCAGTAGCCGGAAACGAGACCACGTGTAATAGTTCGAAAGAGAATTTCATTTGCAGCAGCCGAAGCGAAGCCAAGTGTAGTAATTCAAAGACGAGGTCAGCTGTAATAACCCAAAACGAGGCCAAGCGTAGCAATTCACCAACGAGGCCACTTGTAGGAACCAGACACGAGGCCAAGTGTAGAGACGTAAAACCACATCCTCTACAGTAGTGAAGATGTGATCTCTGGGCGCGCAGCCTCGGGCCACGACGAGGGCTTGCCCGGGGCCATTCCGCCCCCATCCTCCTTTTCCTTTCCTCCACACCTCTCCCCCCTGTTCCTCCCCGTCCTCGTCCTCGTCGGCGTCGGCGTCGTCGTCGTCGTCCTCCTCCTCCTCCTCCTCCCCCTCCTCCTCCTTTAGAGCCCTCCTTTTCCCAGCGTGGGAGTTGGAGGAGGAGGGGGAAAAGGAAGAGGAGGAGGAGAAGGAGGAGGACCAGTGTAACCCCAAGGGTCATCAACGATGTTGGAATTAACCCTCCCTCCAAGCTCCCTCGTCGGAAGCCCCTACAACGGTTCATTTCCACAGGGATCTGCCTCGTTGGAAGACAACCGTTTGAAGAACCTGAAGCATGCCAAAATATTGTTCTCGGGATTTCAACGCCACGGATCAACTTGACTGCTGCGTCTTGACGATCCAGAACCGTGCCAGAACGCCATTTTTGGGACTTCAACACCGCGAACCAACATACTTGCTGCACCCACGTAATCTTGAATCCTTCCAAAACACCATGTTTGGTACGTTGATCATGGGAGTCCGTGGGGCCCTTACAAATGTTTGAAAACGAGTGTGCGCGGCGCTAAAGCGAGAACCACATTCAAAAAACGACCCGCCCTCAATCCGCGAAGCTCTTGGACATGTTTAATTTGAATGTGCGCGGTTCTAATGCGAGAGCCACATTTCGAAAACCACCCGCCCTCCATATGTGAAGCTCTTGCAATTTGTTTACCACGAATGTGCGCGGCTCTCAGGCGAGACCAACATTTTGAAAATGACTCGCCCTCTATCCGTGAAGCTATTGCAAATGTTTACAACGAGTGCGCGCGGCGCTAAGGCGAGAACCACATTTTGAAAACGACCCGCCCTCAATCCGTGAAACTATTGCAAATATGCGCGCGGTGCTAAAGCGAAAATCGCATTACCAAAACGACCCGCCCTCAATCCGTGAAGTTGTAAATGTTTTGTACGACGTCGCGCGGCTTTAAGGCGAGAGCCACATTTTGAAAACGACCCGCCCTCAATCCGTGAAGCTGTTGTAAACGTGTTGTGCGAATGTGCGAGGCTTTAAGACGAGAGCCACATTTTGAAAACGACCCGCCGTCAATCCATGAAACGATTGCACATGTTCAAAACGAATGTGCGCGGCGTGAAGGCGAGAGCCACATGTTGAAAACCACCCGCCCTCCCTCCACCCGTGAAGCTCTTGCAAATGTTTTAAAACGAGTGCGCGCGGCGCTAAAGCGAGAACCACATTCAAAAACGACCCGCCCTCAATCCGTGAAGCTCTTGGACATGTTTAAATTGGGTGTGCGCGGCGCGAAGGCGAGAGCCACATTTTGAAAACCACCCGCCCTCTATGTGCGAAGTTGCTGCCAAGTTTTAAGCTGTAGGGTCATAGATGGTGAGGAAGTCTCAAGCAAAACGCCTGACCGGCCTAAAAACCGGCCACGGGGTGCGACAGGGAGAAGCTATGTGTAAGGAAAAGGAATGGAGGAGGAGGACGAGGAGGAGGAGGAGGAGGAACAGGAGGAGAATGAGGAGGAAAAGGAGGGGGGGAAAGGAAGGGGGCAGTTTTTTGGTTGTTGCAGCGATCGCGCGCACTGCCACTGGCTGTTATTTTGGACAAGGTCCAAATTTCCACGCGCCGCGCGGGTGACGCGCGTCAACCGCGCGCGCTCGGTGACCGCAAGGGGTTCGCTTCAGGCTTCTCGCAAACATGATGTCTTTTCTTGATTCGGGAATGTACAAAAAACACATTTTAACATCATCATCCAATCGGCCACCTCCAAGAGTTCACTATAGTTTCTAGGCCAACATGGCGACTTTCCAATTGTGAATAATACAGAATTCGGCACGCGCGCGGCGGGTGACCCACCCACCGCGCAGGTCTCCCGAGATCCTGTCGGTCACCGCTAAGAGGCCACTTGCGTTCTCAAGCCTGCATAGACAATGCAGAACTCCTTACGCTCGCGCGTGGGGAGTTTTGACACCAGAACTCATTTTCACTTCACTATCAAATCTGTTAACGCTAATGGCGGCTTTCCCCTTGTGGGCAATACAGAACTCGTCAAGCGCGAACGCATGTGCGGCGGGTGACCCACCCGCCGCGTGGGTCACCCGAAATCCTGTGGGTCATCGCTACGGGTCCACTTCAGCTTCCAAGGCGACCTGGCGATCTTCCTACCTCGGACATCACAGAATTCGCCACGCGCGCGCACGCGTGGCGGGTGACCCGCCCACCGCGCGGGTCACCCGACATCCTGTCGGTCACCGCTAAGGGGCCAGTTGGGTTTCCAAGCCAGCATGGCGACTTTCCAATTGTGGACAGCACAGAACTGTTCACGCACGCGCGCGGAGAGAGGATTTCTGCCCGGATCACGCGTGAAGTCGCACATCAAAACGTTTGTTCACTTCATGATCCAACGGTTCATTTTAGTTTCCAGACTAACATTGCGATTTGCTTTTGGTGGGCAGTACCGACTTCGCCAGGCGCGAACGCACGCGGCGGGCTACCCGCCCATCGCGTGGGTCACCCAAAATCTTGTCCGTCACCGCTAGAGGCCCACTTTAGCTTCCATACCAACATGGCGACTGTTCGATTGTGCGCACTGCAGAGCCCCGCGCGCGTGTGGAACTTTCCACATCGTAGGAAGCTCGCGCCCAAACCAACGTAATTTTGAAGTCCAATCGGTCAGCGTTCAACCTTTGACAACAGCCCTGAGCTTTGACAGACCTCGACGTTGCTTCCGGCTTGCCGAGGGCTGTCAAGGGTTATCAAGGATTGGGCTTGTCATGCGCCGTCAATAAGAAAACATCCAGACAGTTAAACGAAACATAAGACAATGAACCATGAAACGCAGAACTCAAGAC